AATTGAAGATGTCAGCTTCTCTTTATTTGGCCACACCACATCTAAAGGCAGCAGAAACCAATCTCCCATGGGAGCAAAAAAAAAATTGGTGCTTCAGAAGTTACCAGTATCATTCACTTTTCAAAAGTTGCAGTTGTCTCCTGGCATTTTGATGTATAGGTACTGGGCTTTTGTGCCTCCGCTGATGTAGGTGCCACGTGTAGCTTCCTGCACTTGCTACCTCGTCTCTTTTTGGGTGTATTTTGGGCTGCTTGCTGTTGCACCAGGTTTATTCATAGCCTCTCATGATGCTCCTATACAGAGCATCAGTACGTATTCTCTGCCACAGCAGATGGTTTCCACTTCCCATGCCTTCCACATGGGGCAGATGCTGCAAAATCAGATTTCCCTTGGGCATAACCTTTGATTGGCATTTCTCTGCCAGTCGCTGTTTCATAACCCGTCCTGGAAATGGCTTTAGACTGTCTTGTATGACTCGTATGTCTGATGCCTGGACTAACGTGGCTTGTTGGAGTATGCTGGATGTCTGACGAGTTATTAGGGCCGTTAGTCATGCTGTAAAGCATGTGGCAGCAGGACAGCACCACTTGAATTGGTGAGGATGCTTGATCTTGCCATGGAAATTTGCTGAAAGGTGTAGTTCCCTGGTATTAATCCAGCTCAAATGAAGCTCTCTGGAAGAGCAGCAGTCCCGCTGTTCGTTACTGTTCCAGTGCTTGCATTTAAGCTTAAGCAAACGCCAAGCTTTTTTTGGGTTGATCTGACTTATTGCTCAGCCACGTGAGCACAGGGAGGTAGTGGGACAGGTGAGGATTGGACAGTCCCTTCTGGTGGCAGCCTGCAGGAGCAGTGAGAGGTTTAGCATCTTGGGAAACCTGAGGCCAGAGTCGTGTGGCTGCTCAGGAGTGTGGTAGAAGCAAAGTCTGAGTTTTTGGCTTTGATGTCTGCATTTGCTCTCGTTCCAGCCACAATGCTTTAATCTCTGAAATGCTATGCTAGATTTTCGCTGTGCTCAGCTTGAATTTTTTCCAAGACATCACACTGCTGAAATAGCAGAATTTGCTTGTGGATTCCAGTGCAGTGATCAGTCTGTGTTTATTGGGGTGATAAACTTTCTGCGAGAGTGAGGGTGGAGCAGGGCCTTTTACATATAGTCAAGCCAAATTGCTCAGCAGCAAGACCAAAGCTGTTAAACAAATTGAGATTTCTGCTTGCAGCAGCCTGTACTATAATAGGCTGCTTTTTCTCCAAAGGAGAATCTGCATGTGTTGTGCCTGGATTTTCTTCCCTTAATGTGGTGTTCCTGTTTAATGCCGTGGATCAATTCCATGTTTATATACAATTTTGCACATAAGTTGTGTTAAGCTGATCATGGTTTGTATTTCAAGTGTTGAGTTGTACCTTTGTAATCCGCAAGATGAGACCTCTGCTCTGCCTGTTGCTTTTCATCCTGTACTCTTTGAATCCAGAACTGCTCATCTAGGACAGAGCGTTTCACAGCACCACGGCTTTGTTTGACCTTTTCAGTCCTCTGCCATTGCTCGTCATTAAAAACCTCAGGTTCGACTGCCCAGATAAAAGATATTTTTTCCTCAATCTCTTTTGCTGGCAACGTCCTTCTTAAGTATTTACAGATCTGCTGGTGATATTTGTGGAGTTCCTGTGGTTCGCCATGGCAATGGACTCGGTGGCACCAGGACACGTTGCTTGTTGCTGAAATAGAGCCAAGCTACATCATGAATTATGCAGGCTGGCTGTGATTAAATAAAATTTGATGCAGATTTTCTTAGACTGCCCTTTTTATCGTTCATAAGAAGAATGGGTCCAGAGATGCCTGTATCTGAAGTCTGCAGAGAACCACCATGAAATCATCTGTCCTCATCTTCCTGCTTGGATCCTGCAGACAACAGGCACCCTTAAATATTTACATCAAGCTTACAACTTCTCTTACAAACTTTTCCCCTCCCTAAAAAGATGCTAAATGTTGACTAAGTGTTTGAGTGAGCTGAGGGTGAATTACCCCAAGTCCATCATAACTTTATTTCAGTAACTAGTATGGAGCTGAGGAGCTCTGGCTTGGGCTGGGAGGCTCCGTAGGTCTTGTCAACAATGCTCCCTTAGGTCCAGGATACATGATCGATGCAGCCTGGGTCTGAAAATTAGATATATGTTACAGCATTTTTATTCTAGCAAAGCCAGTAGGTAAGTTGTGGACTGCAGAGCTTGGCAGCTGAAAACCCTCAGAGAAAAACTGAACCCTAAAAATATGCCTGAAACTAATAATGTCTTCTGTAGGCTGGCACTTAGGATGCTTTTTTTAATGTTCTTTGCTACAGCTTCACCTTGTAGGAGCTCACACCAAGAGGAGAGCCTTCCTGAGGTTTAAAGTTGAGAAGAGTACTCCAAGCTCTTGGCTTGTAAGGTCTTGAGTGGGTAAAGCTAACTGAAGAAGCTGAGACCCCAGAGAGCACTAAATAGCTGTGTTGCTTTCTTCCCTACATGAAATCCCCATCTTTTGAGTCTTGCTGCAATTTATCTTCCTGGTTCTTAATGCCCAGTAGGAATTTAATTTTAATTGCAATGCTCTCTCTTTACCAAGTAGGACTGTAAATGTACTCCTTTCCCCTTGCTCTGGGAATGAGATTCTTCACCTTCCTTAAGAGCCTTTCTTCAATTTTGTTCTCCTGTATACCTTAATTAGCACACTCCTAATCCGAGTGGTTTCCTTCCTGATTTGCACTTTTCAAGACTGTTATCCTGATGTAGAAATAGTGGTAGAAGTACTTACTGGACATATATCTTGAATTTAGAATGTTTGCAGTTTTAAACTTTTCGTAGAATATTCTGTTACTTTCTTCTTCTGTATTATTCTTCTATTATTCTCTAAAAAGTAGAGATGATGATCTTGGTATTAGAGGTAAGTATGTAGGTAAGTCCTCATCAGATTTTACTGAAAACTCAACGGCTCACCGTGAGTTACTTCAAGAGCTTTTGCAATTATTCAAGCATTCAGCACTAAGCTGATGGCATTAAATTATCATTTATGTTGATTTGGGGATATTTGAAAATGTTTTGGAGCTGCCTGCATCACATCCCATCATTGTTTGGCTTTCTGAATTGCTTCGGCATCAAACCATCCTGTTTTCTTAGAGGACTTAATTACTGTTAATGCTTCCTAAAACATGAAGCTCTGTTAGGAGCAGTAGCCTCCCAAGACCGGGTTGGGTAAATGTTTTACATAGGACGGAAAACTCCGGTTGGACTGGGAATTCCTGCAATACTCCCGTAATATCTCATTAATGCGTCCTGATGACTGATACCTAATATCATTCCCCAAGCATGTGAGTTAATGAGATTAAAACCATCCTATGGTAATCTTTGTCAAGCTGTATTTTGTTCTTTTTGAGTAATACACGGGAGCATAAATTCTGTAATATTTAAGCTTTAGTAATCTCAGCACCACATTTATTGTATTGTTGGCAAGTTGATGACTGCTACTGGGCAGATTAATGAGGCTTTCCTAAATCTGTAGTAGTACATAAAGTTATTATGTTGCTGACACGCTCCAGCCTTAGTGTATCCCTGTTCTGCTGCCTTGACCTGTGCTGGGTTAGGCTGCCTGAGTGCGTCATGGAGCAGATACAAATCCATGCAGTTACACAAGCAATTCTGCTGTCTCGATAATTAGTGAAGTTATTTTCTATTTTTAATATTATCTCTTCTGTAAATATAGGTGTGTGTATGTATTTACTTAAAACGCTCTGTAAAATTTGTAATCAGTGTTCTTTCAGGTCCCATGCTGTGTAACTTACGGACCTGCCTGTGACTTTGAAAAAGGGCTGCATACATAGTGCTCACCACGGTGAGCCTTTACACTGAATAGCAGGATGTCGTATCTTTGTGTATTCAAGCAAAGATGTTGTTTTGACATAAGACAAACCCCCATATTTCAAAACAAAATCCCTTCCATTGCATTTTGGAACTGCTTAGAAGATGTAGACTGGAAATACATTTTTTTAAAAAAAGTGTTACACAGCTTGATACTGATGCCAGGACACTGAGTGCCTGTGCTAGATGCTGATTAGAAAAATTCAGTTAGCCCTGAACCAAAATCCTCCCTCTATGGGCTGGTCTGATTTTTCTTTTTGACTAAAAGTTAATTCAGGGACTGCTGCGTAGCTCAGTGAGTGTTCAGACACTGAGGCTGGGTTTTTTTCCCTTCTGGTGCCTTTCAGAAAGCTAATCCACGCAAAAAGCCACTGTCAGCTGAGTATACATACTGCGTACTCTTGCTGAGAAGTCTGTTGCTGAGTTGTTAGGTGAGAAGGGTAGGCTCTGGCTCCTACTGGTTGGGTGTCGAAAGTTTTGTGTGTAATTTACAGCAAAACGGGTTGCACATATGCTTAATGACTATGATTGCTTATATTTACATGGTGATGGGTCAAAACTTAAATATTTGCTCTTTTTTAAAATGAAACTTTTTTTATTCCCCTTTCTCATGAGTATAAGAGTAAACTTTGTGTAAAGTTGTGCTGAAAAACGGTGGCTGTGTATTATCTTGGCTGAAGAAGCAGCCCTTTTTTGAACATGCCTCATTTTCTCCAAGGACTGTGATCTTCCTAACTGCTCAGATGAGTGCCAGACCATGTTTGGAGTTGTACTCTGCCTGGTGTTTAGTGCAACGTAGGGAACTCCATGTCTTGTTCCCTAAGTCCAAGCATTTAAGCTGCCAAAGCTAGACACTTTCATGTGGTCCTGTTATTGCTTTGAAATCCATTTGTCTGTTCAAGGGTGTAGCTGAGCAAAGCCTGCACTGATTTGGCCTTTGGTTCATTCACAGCGCATGCTGAAACTTATTTACTTGCTGGGCAAGATCAAACAGAAAGGACACTTGAGAGGTAAAAATAAAGGCTCTGCCCAGCAAAAGATGTACGTGCAAGGAGGAAGAGTATTAACATTGTCCTGTTGACTGATTTCAATTCTTTTTCATATTCTTCCAGCTGAAGGTCTTCCCCAGGTGTATTACTTTGGACCGTGTGGAAAGTACAACGCCATGGTACTAGAGCTGCTTGGTCCTAGCTTGGAAGATTTATTTGACCTTTGTGATAGGACGTTCACTTTGAAGACGGTATTAATGATAGCCATCCAGCTGGTGAGTAACAGCAGGCAGGGCTCTGCCTGGCCGCCTCCACGATGCCGACTTGTGTTTGTGTCAGTTAGCTGAAGGATGGGGCTGGTACAGTGCGAGGTTCAGGAGTGTCTGTTGGTTGGAGAGAGAATCTCCTTCCATCATAGAATCACAGAACAGTTTGAGTTGGAAGGGACCTACAAAGAGCTAGTCCAAACCCCCTGGCATGGGCAGGGACATCTTTCACTAGATCAGGTTGCTCAAAGCCCCATCCAACCTGACCTTGAACACTTGCAGTCATGGGGCATCCCTGACATCTCTGGACAACCTCTTCCAGTGTCTCACCACCCTCATCTTGAAGAATTTCTTCCTTATGTCCAACTTAAACCTATCCTCTTTCAGTTTAAAAATGTTGCCTCTTGTTCTGTCCCCACAGACCTTGGCAAAAAGTGTCTCTCTATCTTTCTTATAAAAGAAAGCTTCTCAGTTTGAGAAAAACTCTTGCTTATGAAGGGAAGGTCAAATTATGTTGATGAGCAAACTTGCTCCTTGCGTAGCAGAACCGGTGAAGCTAGATTCCTATGGACTTGTGTCCTGTGTCCCCTACACGCCCCTGCCCCATTATCTACCTCAGCTCCTTCCCTCTGTTTGGACATCCCCCAGAACATTTCATTTCTTACCTGCTCCCTGGGACACAGGGAGCACAGCACCTTCCCACACTCCTACCAGTTTTACTGGTTCAGTGCTACCAGGCTGCTCATAGACTAAAACTTCTCAGAGCGACAGGACCTGAGCTCTTCTTAGTCAAAATACCATCATTTGAGGTCTCTACCTTGGTTAAATTTGGTTAAAATTGGCCAAGGGGTTTAAATGACTAACAGCTGGAAAATAATAGACCTATGGACAGCATTACAGAGCCCCTAATTTACCTGAAAAAGAAAGGAAACTAAGTTGAAAATGGTGTTTGTGTTAAAAGTGAACAACGTGAAAACTGAACGTACTAAATATGGAAAGTGAATTTCCACAAGTCAGTAGGGCCAATCGGTCATCATTTTAGTTTGGCTTTCTGATTTTCAACCTGTGGTCTGCAGATACCTAATTGGCACAGTAGAGGTGGGACTGGATTTTCACATTAACAAATCTGTGGATAGAAGGACAGAGAAGATGGTGAGGGAGTCAGGAACACAATCCTTTCTAAATAACCTGAAGTTTGCCACAACAAAATCTCAGATGGAAAACTGAGGCCACAGATGCAGAAGTTTGAACAATGCCTGCCTGGTATTGGGTTCATGAAGTTGTCCTTCTGTGGCTGAGCAGTGTAGTTTTGTTGGCTTTGGGTTGGCTTCGTCAGTGGAAAACCAATTTGTAGTATTGCTTTTGATAATTCAAGTGTGCAACAGATGGCAAAGCCTTGGATATAGCTTGTATGACCTTTTGACTGTAAAGGTGTAAAATGTAAAGATGTAAATTTATTCCCATGTGACTGCTGGGGAAATCAAGATTGTCACAGCAGTGTCCGTCTGCCTTTTGCCAAGGTTGCAGATTAGCTCTGTACTTGGACGGTCTTCCCTGGCATCATCTGCTGATCTTGTGATCTCAGCCAGCCTGCCAACTCCTCTAGACACTGGTACCAGTTTGAAAAACAGATGCTTAGGGACACCCAAAGCAGTCACAAATGGAGGAGTTGATGTTCTCCAAAAGCACCAGGCAGTGCTACTCCTTTTTCCATGGGGAGATGTTTTAAGACCTTTCTAGTCTTCTCAGGAGTGTAACATGAGTTACCAGCTTGGAGCATATACATTTAAGGACACAGATTCAGCACCTATAGGTGTGCACCATCTCCTTCCCTGGGAGGTTATCTGGGAAAAGGGCTCACCTGGCCTTTGGAGACGTGTTTTCTGAAGGGGCTGGCGCTTACAGCTCAACTGAGTGAAAACCCTTCACTCAGCCACAAGGCTTTTGGGGAAATTGTCTTGGATTTATCGTAGTTCCTACACTAAATCATTGCAGTCACTCCAGTGTGAGAGATACATCAGAGAATGAAAGTTGGACTGTCAAATTCAGTGGGTTCACCTCCATAAATAATGTTTTGCTCTTGCTTTTGATCAGCCCGGCCTTCTTAAACTACTGTAATTCCAACTGGTGTGAGGAGACATAAGGCTTCACTGCCAGAATCCAGTGCGTTGCATGAGCAGTGTTTCTCTCCTCTGATGCTTGACACGCCTGCTAACAAAGTCTGATATCCAGGGAGACTTCCAAAAAATGTGAATGGCCTGGTGCTGCCCAGACAGCAGAGAGGAGCTTTCTGCTCTGATGTAGGGAGTGAAGGACAGCTCAGCATGTTGCAGAAAACTGCTACTCTGGTTTGGTTCTCACCAAAATGTCATCAAATTATATGTTTTTTAAGACCAGGAAGACCACCCAAAGGTAAAGCAGTACTACTTGTCTGGGAGGCCCCTCTGCAACATGGAGCTGGGAGAGCATCCAGGAGATGACCCGGATGCTGGGAGTCACTTTGCATTGCCTCTCCTGCCCTGGGCTTGATCCTCGCCGGGGCAGGGAGGAAGGAAGTGTCTGCCATGGATGTCTTGGCACTTGGAGCAGCAACGCTGGCAGCCTGCATGCCCTGAGCTGGTGGGATGTTAAGTGTCCACCCCTTTGTCCCCTGGATCTTTCTCCCCTCACTTGCATGTAATGATCCACATGTCTTTAGAAGCATCCAGTCTCTTCTCTGATGTTTCTGTGGTTCCTTGCCATTGCCTGATGCAGGCTCAGCCCAACAGCAGCCAGCTGCTGCTTTCAAGGTCTCACTTAGCTGCTTTCTCCCCCCTCTCCCTCCTTAAGCCTGACGGCTGTTGCAGCACATCTGTGCTGTGTACTAAAACTAGGCAGGAAATTTGGATGCAGTGTGGTGGCACTTGATCACCTTTTTTTTGTGTCCAGTGGTCATTTTTTAACCAGAGGCATCCCCAAAAGATGTTTTTTAATCATATGTGCTTGGCTGGTCTTACTTAGCTTGACAGGTAGCAGCATCTCAGGACTGGGATGGATCCTTTACAGACATTACAAGAAAACGAAGCCCTCTAGGAGAAACAAGTATCATCATTGTTTTAAGGAAGGTCACTTGTGATTATGGGAATTTAAACATGGTTTTGCATCAAGACTCTCCCAGCTCAGGGAGATAGAGACTGGACAATAATGAGTCTTCAAGAAGGAGAACCTGGTTTGGAATCTTTTCAGATGAGATGACACAGTAGGAAGGTTTGCTTTAGCAGGGGGATGAGCCACACAGCCCTCAGGTTTGTTACTAGGCTTGCATGTTCTTCTGGTTAGTGTGGATTTTGTTCAGAGCTGTGGGAGCAGCTTATCACAGAATCATCTAGGCTGGAAAGGACCCCGGAGGTCATCTAGTCCAACCATTTGCCTAGCACAGTTCCCACCTACAGCATATCCTTAAGCTCCAAATCGACCCTACTCTTGAACACCTCCAGGGATGGGGACTCCACCACCTCCCTGGGCAGCCCATTCCAACGCCTAACAACCCATTCTGTAAAGAAATGCTTCCTGACATCTAGTCTAAACCTTCCCTGGTGCAACTCGAGGCCATTCCCTCTTGTCCTGTCACTTTCTACTAGGCTAAAGAGGCTCAAACCCAGCTCTCTGCAGCTTCCTTTCAGGGAGTTGTAGAGGGTGGTAAGGTCTCCCCTCAGCCTCCTCTTCTCTAGACTAACCCCCCCCAGTTCCCTCAGCCGTTCCCCAGCAGACCTGTGCTCCAGACCCTGCACCAGCTCCGTTGCCCTTCTCTGCACACGTTCAAGTAACTCTATGTCGTTTTTGTAGTGAGGGGCCCAAAACTGAACACATTAATCAAGGTGCGGCCTCACCAGCGCCAAGTACAGAGGCAAGATCCCTTCCCTGTCCCTGCTGGCCACACTAATCCTGATACAAGCCAGGATGCCATTGGCCTTCTTGGCCACCTGGGCACACTGCTGGCTTATATTCAGCCAGCTATCAATCACCCCCTCAGGTTCCTCTCTGACTGGCAGCTCTCCAGCCACTCCTCCCTAAACACAGCTTGTGTCGAATCAGAAACACTCTTGCTCTGATGCACTATTTTATACCTCTTGGTGAAAACTTGCATTGAAGGAGTCCTCTGTTTTCCTTCCCTGGTAGAAGTTTTCCAGCTCCATTACTGCTGCAACTTGTGCATCTCTGATGCTTCACGTTGCTCTAAGAGCATCAAACTGGAACGGCTTCCTCCATCCTCCATGTGCAGCTGAATATATCAAGTGGTTGATGTTCCTGAATAAAGCAAAGATTTGGCAGTTAAAAATGAGTTCACTAACATCAGTCCCTAAAGCCCATAAATGGGAAGTTATCTTAGGGCTTTGCAGAGCTGACTTGGTGTTTGGGCTGGGGGAGAATGGGTTTTCATTCTAGCTTCAATTTTTCACTCTTGGCCAGGTCCAACATGGGCAACACTCATTGACAACTCAGTGGTGTCAGGATTAAATGTTATCTTCACCCCTGCTTAAGCGCTTGCTGTCAGACACAAGGTCTGTTATGCGAGGCAGTGTGCAAATACTTCTGGCCACTATCTGCACCAAGTCCTGGTGAAAAGTTTTTTGGCTGGTGACCATCAAAATCATCTTGCATAAGAGACACCAAAACAGCCTTTAAACAGGAGGAATGTTTTTATCTCTGCTGATCTGTTCTGTATTCAAACAAGTGATCTGTGGAATAGGGGCTCAAAATTATCAGGAGGGTGTAGAGATGGGATTGCTATCAAGATCAGATCCTTAAGAGTTACCTTTAGAGGGGAAGAGGTTTTATTACACTTGCTTCCTTGGCAGGAGAAAAGAAAATAAAAGTGTGAGTTTCTTGGCATCTGGTTAAATGTCACAAATATCCTCTCATTTCTTAACTGCAGCATAGGGGTCCTGCTGTGTGCCAGGGGATGCTCTTCTAGGAGTTTCTCTGACATCTGAAATGGAGATTTGTGGCTCTGAAGATGGACTCAGCAGGCCATGGCTGTGGAAATCCTGCTTTAATTCTGAGAGTCTCCCATCTGCCCCTGTGTTCCTGTGCACTATGATAAAATACCATAGTCAGTTCTTACACTGTTAAAATAACAGAGCAGATGTTAACACCGCTTCACAGTCACTGTTTTTCCAGTGTAAAAGCAGTTTCAATAGTTAGTCCCAGCTCCTTGCAGTGGTTTCTCTGTCCGTAGAAGAATTAATGCACAGACATTAAAGCCTGTAGTTCAGACACAAAGGAGTGAGCATCGTGTCTCTGCATCCAGCACATTTCTGGAGTGGGAACTCCTCTTCTTCACCTGTGCAGTGGGTTTGAGTCAGGCCAAGGTCATGCTGCACCAGTATTGTTCATTTCTTCCTGGGCAGCAAGCCTGGAAGGGCAGTGCAGCACAGACAGTCACCAGCTCCCCATCACTAGCAGCCACAAGCAGGGTGAGTGTCTTGTCAGGGTGAATAAAGCATGGAGGCTACTCCAGGAAATGTCCCTTTCTTGGAATGCATCTTTCAGCCATTGCTGGCTGTGCACAGCTCTCCAGCAGCACATCAGGAAGCGTCCAGGCAGGTGGAAGTAAAGAAGGAGGAATATGAAAGACCCAGCAGTATCTATATGTGTGGTGGAAGCAAAAGACAGGTAAATAAGTATCTCTAAGTGCTGCTGGAGTGTATCAGTTCATCTGACATCTCAGCTGTCTTAAGTTGTTGTCCTGGCCAATACAACTCAATGAGTTTTTAAGGAACAAAAAAAAAAAAAGCTTTTTTGAGGTTGTGTAATTGCTGTTGACCATTTCAACAACTGAGCTTCTCTGGTAGCACGGACAAATCAAATGAGTCAGGCTCTGTTTGAAAGCTTGTTATGTGTGGAGAGGCAAGGAAATGCTTTGTTCCAGTTTTAAGGGTTGCATCTTAATTTGAATTGCCTCCCGACATACCTTTTTGTCTTCCAACCTGTTGCTGTGTGCTGCAGGTGACTCAAAACGTGAAGAATGGCTGAAGTACAGAGCATCTGCTCTGTTCTGCATCATCATGTAATTTATTAGAAATAATGGCTGTTAGCCGTGAAACCCATTTTCTCAGCACATTGAAATAAATCACTACTTAGAGAGCAAGGGAACAGCAACACGTGCTGAAGAGCCTTTTAGCAAGTCCTGTTTTTTAAGACTGATTCACCTGCAGTCGGTTTTTCTTGTCTACTGTGCTCCCTGTACAGCATTTTTTATTTTATAAAGAGTGCTGCCCCCTCCTGCCTGTTAGTTCTTTGAGTGGTGGAAATGCAGCAGGTTTTCTTTAAAAACAAGGGTATCTGATAAACCTCTGGGAGAGGGATGGGGTGATCACATGCAGATGGAGCTTTCAGGCAGGTGTGAATCCAAGATCTGTAGAGAAAGAGAGATCTAGGTTTGCAGCTGAGAATGCATTTGGATTCAGAGCAAGAAAACAAAGAGCAGCAGGGGTCTATCAGCCCAGCAGTGCTTGCGGTCAAGGCAGGCAGGGTGGTTGGAAGGGCTGACGTGGGGCAGCTCTTCAGCGGGGGATGAAGCTGGCTCGGTGATCCAGAGCTCCAGCCTGCCCCATGCGGGAGGTGTGGAGCTGCCTGGACAGTATCGACCCAGTGCAGAGCTGCTTAGGAACTGGGGGGCCCCTGCAGGGAGCTGCCTGGGGGCCTCTCACTTGAGATGTTCCCCGGTTTGGACAGCATCACAGCGTGACATCCACCACAACGGCACGGCACTGACCTCTGCGGACTGGCCCTCGTTAGTGCAAATTTTGGAGTTTATGAGAGCTTTGCAATGGTCTCTTAGTGTTTCAAACCTGCATGCAGACAGATAGATTCAAATGGCCTTTTCAAAGAAGCATCTTGGTTAAAAAAGCCACCGAGCCCTACAGCGTGCAGGGCAGCTGCAGACCAGGACAGTTGTAAATGGGAATTCACATGTTTTTATTTAAAACCTAAAAAGGAAATTGAAAAGTAATAAATGAAGTTGTAAGTTATTTCCAATTGGAATAATATAGTAAGTTAGGAACTCGAAGGAGAACTGCTTGGTGACCTATTCAGACTTCACCTGCAATATATTTAGTTTCAAAAGCAATATTAATGATGAGCATCTGAATAAGCTGCATTCTTGGAGGGGAAATGTCCCTCCATCACCTTGGAAGTGGGGTTCCTGCCCTTTTACCTTCCCTTCTCATTCATACTGCTGGAACAAAGTTGGTCAAAACCTGAGAGATATTCCAGCTATTTCTAGTTAACCAATGAGATTATTATTTTTAGTCAGCATTGAGGATCATAAGGCTTCTGCCTGCCCAAAAATCCCTCTCCGTGAAGAATCTGGTGTGTCTAAGACACCATATGGGTCGAGGGAGGAAGGTGGTAAGACACAGAGCAACAAGGGAAGGCTGTGGGCAAGGGAAGAGCTCTCAGTAACCAGTTTAGTATGTTTAAGATCAATACAAAAAGGCTGCCACAATTCCCGATGGCATTCTTCCAAGAGCTCTGTCCCAGTGGTAATGTTTCAGAAAGAGCCTTTGCAATTTCTGTAGGAATTAAGTCAGGGAGCGCACAGTACAGTAGCTGCAGAAAGGAGGGGATGACAAATTCCTCTTCCAACTCCGCATTGGAGGACATGACCCAGCTCTGATTATAACTGCTGCCTTAGGTCACTCCATCTGTTGTTGCGTTTCTCGTAGAGTAACTGAAATCTGAGATAACCCTGAGCCAAGGCTCAGTGATGGGCTAACAAAACCTTGCTGCTTTGCTAGCTGGGAGAATGTGGTAGCTGGTCTGCTCACAAATAACTTTTGCCTCATCATTTTGCAGATATCTCGGATGGAGTACGTGCATTCAAAGAACCTCATCTACCGAGATGTCAAGCCAGAAAACTTCCTCATCGGCCGGCAAGGCAATAAGAAAGAGCATGTCATTCACATCATAGACTTTGGATTGGCGAAGGAGTACATTGACCCAGAAACCAAAAAACACATACCTTACAGGGAACACAAGAGCTTAACTGGAACAGCGAGATACATGTCCATCAACACGCATCTTGGCAAAGGTCTGTGCAGTTGGTGGGAGCTTGCCATGCTGAGCCCTGTAGACCTCCGATGATAGTTTCTCCTACTGCTCTCTTGTGCTCTTCGAGCTATTTCTAAATCTCCTAATGCCACGATGCTGTTTACAGTTGGGTTTTTTTTTTTCCCCCTTTTCAGGAATTGAGACAGTTGAAATGTTGGAAGCCTCATAATTATAGTTTTTATTAGAAACTAAGTAACTGGTAACAGTCCTGCACTGATAACAGTCAAGTAGGTGGGTAGTAATTGCTGCACTAGATGACGACCAAATAGATTTTTATAGCACAGCTCTGTACTGGTACCTTCCAGTTCCAGGTGTTAGAGTTAGATGTTCCCTGACCTAATAACTGGTAGGAGAGAATGAATGATTTAACTAATTTTAAGCCTGGATTTCATCTCTCCTCACTGCCTTCTTTCATACCAGAAGATTACATTTCTGTGGCTGAAAGTCAAAAAACCTTATTAAATGTTTATATTCACTTAAACTCATAAGAGCCTAAAATAATGGCATATTCTTTGAGTAGCCTCCCAGCTATGAGATCAAGGCACTGCTGGCTTTTGTGTCTCTTGGAGAGCTTGCTGTCTTTGGGGAGTAAGGAGAGATGAGCCCAACTTCTAATTTGGAAAACCTGGTGAAGACTCAGGAAGGGTTGGAGAAATGAGAAGCTGCAGTGGGAGCAGGCTCAGGAACTGCTGGTGCTGGGGATGCTCTCTGTGAGTGGATGTGGAAAGAAGATCCACTTGTGTTTGAAGTACACCACGTGCATTCCTTAGGACCCTTTTCCCTGCGGGCTTTGCAGCTTATGCTGCAGCTCCTGTGGGGGAAGAGGTGGTTCTGCCTCTGTCCAGAAGGGTTTCATGGGGCTGATGCTTTGCTGGTGAGGCTAGCCCAGGTGGGCTTGGTCCCTTCACTTCTCAGGACTAAGCGAAGTGAAGGAGTCTGATTGCCATTCTTCTGAAAGATGAGTGCGCTCAACCATCTTTCCAAGAAGTTTATCTGCATCATTGCACTGAATTACCCAAGACATCCTCTTTTTCCTTTTTACAGCTGTATCAGGGCAACCCACAGGAACTGTCATCTCAATTTCCTCCTGAGGAAGTGTTCTCACCCCCAGAATGTTTTGAGGGTTAAATTTGCTGCTGCTTTTGAAGGAGAGTCATGCTGGGCAAAGCGCTGCCTTTTTCTGCTCTTGCAGATGATGCAGCATCAGGGACAGCTCACGCACAGTTTGTTGTGGTGTGTGGGCTACATGCCTAGATCTGCTCTGGATCGCAGCTTTAGAGCACGTTATCTGCCTGCAGGTGGAGGTTTGGAGAAGAGGAGGTCTCATCAAAATGGTCTGCAAGCTCGGTGCACCCAAGTCTGCATGAAGCAGCCTAGCAGAGCAGCAGTCCAGTGCTGTTGTGCCCCATATTTGTTGTTCTATCTTATATCCTCCCTTGGGATTTTTTGATACATTTTGGTAGATTATTTTAAGGATGCTTTTTCCTTTGGCTTGAGGCCCCTTTTTCCCCCCTCATTTATAATCATAACATCTGCATGGCAACAGCAGCAAGTGTTTCACAAGGAAAAGCAGTGCTAGAAGGAGCTATTTTTGATCTGCTCTGATGTGATGAGCTGCAGAAGCAGTTGGGAAAGGATTGGCACTGTGCAACATGGTAGTTCCCTGCAGCTGGTTACAAGCGTCCCCTGCCTGTTAGTTTAGAGGAAATAACACATTCCAGCACCACACAGCAGGTGCACTATGGGTGCTGGCAGTCCAGAGAAGAACTGGGAAACTGCTTTATTCCTCTGCAGTTAATACTTCCACCTCTTACCCGGTCTACCTAAGACTGGGCAGTATGTCTTACAGCTCCTGTGTTCTCATGCCTTCTAGCTGATCTTTGTCTATTTTATAGGTTTTTGTAACAGGTTCCAGGTATTTTTGCACAAGGTCTGATCTATAGACAGCAAGTGAACTTCCCTGTGATAACTTTATCTCAGAAATATGTGTGGCTGCTGATGAGATTTCAGATCCGTTTTTACAGCTACAGCAATAATTTGTCATCTCTTCTGTTCTAGAGCAAAGTCGTCGAGACGACTTAGAAGCCCTTGGCCATATGTTTATGTATTTCCTCCGAGGCAGTCTGCCCTGGCAAGGATTAAAGGTAGGTTTGAGCTTTAGGTTTTGCCCTTTGAAACTTTGCCTGGTCTCTGCCCAAATGAGAATCTGATGGGGGAAACATTTGCAAAATCCAGCCAGAAATGCTGTCCTTTCCTTCAAGTCTAATGACAAGGCGTTAGTTTTACCTACAAGGAACGTTTTAAGATAGAAATATGTTACCCGTCACTTCAGGTTACCACTAGCTTAGCTGACTTGGTACAGGTCCGAAGAGAAGATCCATTAGCGGCAGATGAGCAGCTGGGACAGAGACAGCAGTGAGAGCTGTCGGAGTAGCTTTGCTGTAACGTGAAGCTGCCCTGAGCTGGAGTGTGGTTGGGACACAGTGGTTGTTTATGAAATTAAAGTCAGCACACAGTCCCGCAGCTGCGTCTATGAAATGTGTTTTATAGCAGGAGGAGTGTGATGAGTTTAGACGTGCAGATGGGCTTCAGCTTGAAAAACTGGTTTTCTGGCAGAAGTATTGAGCTTGGCTTTCCTCCAGTGACACTGGACACTCAGTGCTTAGAAGTTTATGAAATGTCATGTACAATGTGGAGGGCTGCAAGCAACTGAGTTACAGCAACAGCAGCTAACATCCATCAGCTGAATTAACTAGTAAGTCGTTTGCTGGCTGTGAAGCTGCTGGTACCTGCATCTTCACTTCTCCATCACTTTCCTGATGATTAAGCTGCTGTGTTCAGCTTTGGAATTGCAGTGAGTGAAGGGATCGAATTTGATCAGATTAGGAGGTTTATTAATGACGACAATAACTCCTGTTAGTACTGCTGGAAAAAGGAGACAAGCTTATGGGCTTGCACACTGCTCAGCAGAGTGCTGCTGTGGTCAGGGGCAGTGGCTTGTGTGATAGACCTTGTTAAGCTGTTCTGTCACCATCTATCCAGAGTTATTCTCATCTTAGCCTTATCAGACATGTGATAGAAATGTTGGTGACAACTCAAAAGCAAAGAAAGGGTTTTTCAAGCATGAAAGTCATTGTGAAAGAAGTCAGAATCTCTCAGACTTTTAAATTCGCACCTCTGTCAGTGTGTATTATTCTATTACATGTTTTGTTTCTGTCTTAATTGAACTCTTCTGCTTTAAATTAATCCTGTATATTATTCTAGAGTAATTCCAGGTTTAGACAAAAATCTATAAAATTTCCTCAGTTCAGTGCTGAACTTGATAAGAATTAGTTGACTGCTCTTGAAGTTCTGCATTTTTTTAGCTCCAGAACAAACATATAGCTTGATCTAGAATATGGCATCTTCACTATTCCAGGTTTCCTCAGCTTACACTTTTGGTCTATACTGTCAGTGCTAAACACTAATATGCTGTTGACAAGGTCTAATTGTCATATTTTGAAATGGAGGCCAATAAACCTCTTCTTAGGGTGCTGATTGGAGCAGAGTTCTCTGCTTCAAGAAGGATTTAGGTGGGAAATCTCACTGAAAATTGTTTCCTTTTTCTTGATGACCGACTGTTTAATCGGTGTTGTCTAAGTGATAGACACTTTGGGGGTGAAAGGAGAGGCAGTATGGGAGTAGCATGGGATTTGGGAGAAGTGTGACTGATGTAAACTAGTTATCTATGTGGTGCCATTCTGTTACAGTAAACCACAAATTGCCATTGCAATTTATCTGCTTTCACAGTTGTTTATGAAGGCATCTTGGTTGCCAGTGACTCTAAGCCTAGGACAGGATACTGATGTGCAATCATAATATATGCATCTTTGTTTTCTTGTCCCATGAAAGGCTCACTGTACAGTCCTCAGGACTGGGCTGGTAAGAAATTAGTCTTGTAAGACACTAACAAGTGTCCTTCCATCCATGTACTGAAGATGTTTTGAATGTGTCCTCAGATATTCTTTGCCCATAGCACGTAAAATATACAGTGAGAATTAAAACAGGGTAAGGCAGCATTCCTACTAGTGTCCTCTAGGATACCGCTCAGTTACAAGTTAACATCTTCTGATACCACCCAGAATCGGTATTAAATACCTTGTTTTTCTTCCCATACAGCATGTCGTTTATCACATGGTTGAACTCTTTCTCCACAACTGTTTTGTCTTTGTGCGCTACAGGCTGACACGTTAAAAGAAAGGTATCAGAAGATTGGGGACACAAAGAGAAACACTCCGGTTGAAGTTCTCTGTGAGAACTTTCCAGGTAAAGTCCTGATGGGACCATTTGAGTGCAGTTGAACATACCTTGTTGAATGTGATGGTTCTGAACTCCTCTGACAGGAAGTATTTGGACGATGTGTATCCATTATGTTGTTCCTCAAGCTGGCAGACAACTGAAGCTGCCGCTATAAATTAGTGGGGCTTGAGAGCTTGTGGCTGTGGGTTAAAATGAGCACAAGTCTTCTCATCAAGGATGCTGCACAATGCCCAAGTGCCTCGTGTTCCTGCTTTGCTTCTTGGCTTCCTTCTAAAAGAGGGCCTTGTTATTTTCCCTCTCACAGATGACCGTGTTGGATCTCCTGAGGGAATTCTTTTCCAAATGGAAGATTTTACAGGTGTTAAAATTGTAGGTGGCCAGCTTAGAAAATGAGGTGATGTGTCTGTCATTGAATTCCACATTCTGACAACAGTTGTAAGGAGAGTGTTATTAAAGGTGTGCTTCTAGCTAAGCCCAGCACCTCTTCTGCAGTTAAACAAAAGTCTGCCTTGAAGCTAGGAGAGCAAAGTATAAAGTTAAAGGGCCTCCTCAGGTACCCTGTGGCCTTCACAGGGTGGTTTTGTGTTTTGTCTAGGAAGCAGGAATCCTTACGGCAGGAAGAGCACCCAGGTCCCCCCAATTAGCTCCATTCCTGTAGGAGCTGTTGTGTCACATGGCTCCTCCTCAGTGTGAGGAGCAGCAAGCCTAGAAGAGGACCATTGTTCATTCAAGTCATGCTAATTCCTCAGATGTTTTTGCATCCAAAATCTCCCGAGTTCCAAGCAGAACAGATTCAGGTTGGCTCTTCTCATCTTTTTCACCAATACTCCTTCCTCAGAGCTTGGTCACACCTGCAGGTTTGGGCTGAAGGGAGTAACTTACTTCTATTCCTTGCTCACCTGAAACCTGTTGGTCCTCCACCTTTTAGAGATACTAACAGGAAGAGGGGATCACCTTTCTTCCCCATTTTTTTCTTCCTGCCTCTATGTGACACGCAAGCTGCAAGCCACAGACAGAGTTGAGTATTGATAAGCAAGGGTGTTCTTATTTTTGTTAGCTAAAGGCAAAAACCATGCTGGTACAGCAGCTGTACTGCAGTGCGCAGACTTGCACCTCGTACTGAACTCTGCTCAAACGTCTACCTTGGCTTAGGTGTGAGCCAAGGGAGAGCTGGGAAGGGGCAGAACATGAGTTACCCAGGGTTCAGTTCTCTGTGCATGCAAAGTACAACCCAGATGCAGGAAGGCAATGAATTAGGTTAACACCGAACACTGTTCTGTGTGTGCCAGGTAAATGAATGTTGGAGCCTCCCCTTTGAAGTCCTGTTTTGACTATTCAAGGCTATGACTGATGTACTGATGCTGGGCAGCACAGTGTTCTGGGCAGCCAGACCCTCGTTGTTGCTGGAGCTCAGGGGTGCCACGGGGTGCCCACCAACATCTGCTTTCTTCCCCAGATGGAGTTGCTGTAGCTATTAAGTGTCAGTGTGAGCAGATGTACACATGAGCATCCTGTTGGCAGGTTCAGTGAGTTGGCATTTATTGTACAGCGTGTTCTAGTGTTTGTTTTTGTATAAATGTATAGAATAAAACTATCTGTGGAACTCAGATTTGAGGTGGAGCAGCAGCTCTCTGGAGCAGAGGTGGGACTTCCATTTTTGCTTGAAAAGTGTGTAAATTGATTTGCATTGTAGACTATTACTAAAACCCACTACTTTTATAGGAAAAGCCAGAGATAGCACCAGCAGCCCAGACAATTCTCTCACAGTATGATGCTCAATGCTAAAACACAGACCCTAGTTTAAAACAACTTGTTCAGAAGATTCAGAATAAAAGCAGACTATTATTGTTAGACTTTGGGCAGGGCAGGAGAGCTCTGGAAAGCTGAGTGAGATTCATACAGCAATAAAAGACTGTTGAGTAGGTCACTGAGGGTGAAGACATTTGGGATATTCTCAGCTTCTGCAATCCGGCTCAGCTGAACTTAGCGGTGCCTGGACTGGTCACTGGTGATCTGGACCTTAGCCCAACTTTAAGCACCAACTTTGGTGCCATGGGAAAGCCTCGTTGGAGGTAATTGAAAAGCATATTTCCAGTATGTGTGTCAGCTCTGAGAGGCCTGTAAGTGATGGAGCTCATGCGAGAGCAGAACTGATGCTGCCACTTTTTTCCCCTTTTCCAACAGAGGAGATGGCCACGTACCTCCGTTACGTTCGGCGGTTAGACTTCTTTGAGAGACCAGACTACGATTATTTACGAACCATCTTCACAGAGCTGTTTGAAAAGAAAGGCTACACCTTTGACTATGCCTATGACTGGGTTGGGAGGCCAATTGTAAGTTGTCCCTGCAAAATACAGCTTCCCCACCACCTGGCTCTTTGTTCCTGATAATCCCAATTAATACCAGTGATCTTAGGATCAAATCTTTCACTCTGTTCTCTACCTAATGTGGGCTCAACACAGCGAGATGTCCTGACATTTTGTTCAGGAGGTTCTTGTAGTGCCTCGAAGTTTCCCTTCCCTTCCTACCTCTTCGGGCTTGCCCTGATGGGGCATTAAAACCTGATTTTCCCACTTGTGTCCTCTAGTCTAGCACAAGATTTGAGACCACTATATAAAGACATCCGTCTTAAAGCAGGAGAGCATACTTGCTACCTCAGCACTGAATGGTGGAAGACCTCTATAATCGTTGAGTTCTCATCGAGACTTACGTGACATCTAGGCAGGGCTCTGATGGGTGCTCAGTGAATAGTAAGAGTAAACTGGTTCTGAGCTCAAAGATCGTGGATCTTACACTACTCCAGAGGCTGAACCAGCTCTTTACGGCACATGGCAGGGAAACATGGAGTAATCAAGCTCCATTTAGCAGGTCCATGACACCAGATGGACCATAATCATGATCCTGTTGCATCACTTTGAGTATAAATGGCTTTTGACAATCAATAAGACTTTGGCCAAAATAGTGTCATGGTGAAATCTGATAGAAAAGTCTAAAGCTCTTCCACTGGCTGTCACTGGTGTTTTGTGTTGTTCTGCTGATAGCCTTCTTGCTTGTCCGGTCACCACATACCGGCAGTGGCAAAGGTGTCTGTAAATTAATTGTCACTGGTGCCAGATCAAATGCATTCAGTGCTAAACTTGGTACTGTTGACGATGATTTACCGTCCCAACTATATTTAGCATTACCAATGTTTACTGTGCCCAAAACAGTACATCTTCATAAGAAATCATTCCCTTTGTGAATCATGATTTTTCTCCTCATTTTTGTTTAATTACAAAGGCAATTGATAAAAAACGCCTTGTAAGACAAGCATGCTATTGCTGACAACTGCAGTGGTTGCTATGGAGATTTTGATGTTGTGAGCAGGGATTATGACTTTGGTGAGAACAGAGCAGATGAAGCTTTAATTTTAACACATCCTGTTTCTATGCAAGTGTGATTTTTAAAAGTGGCAAGACAATGAGATGAGGAAAACAAATGGGTATATTTTCAGTTGTTAATAATCATATGTGAGACACATTAGGTGTAATCTGACACTGATACAGATACCTAACTATATCTTTTTAATTTTATACAAGATGTTTGGTGCTGGTGTCCAGCATCAAATCACATGTCCATCAAATCACGGGGATTTTATAGCCCTAGCTGTAATTTTCCTTGGTTATTGTCAGTACCTTTGGGCAGCATTTTGATGTTCTCCTGCTTGTACCTGATAGGAGCCAGCCTGACAAGTTAGGTTTGTGCATGCATGTGTTGAGAGAGAGAGCAGCATCTTCAGCATTGGCTTCATGCTAATGAATGCCTTGTTTTCCAGCCTACTCCAGTGGGATCTGTTCATGTCGATTCTGGGACGTCTGCAGTAACGAGAGACAGCCACATCCACAGGGACCGGCCATCACAGCAGGCCCTTCGCAATCAGGTGTGTTGCTCACAACTGCTTTGGCAGTGCCACGTTATTTGGCACCTCTCTGAATTCTTCTTGGTCTGGAGAAGCAGAAGCCATATGCCATTAGAGGTGGCTGGGGCTGATTCTTGTCTTGGTCATGGCAAGCACAATTCCTGCTTAATATAGAGACTGTGATTTGAGCAGAATTTTCTCAAAGCAACAGGTTGCTGAAATACTGTATCAGCCAGCAGAATTCCTTGGGTTTGTGAACCAAGTGGAGTACAAATTGGAATGGATCACTTTTCTGTAGTTTGTGGGTAAGCTGTTTAAGTCAGCTCTCCAGCCTGATCAGACTATCTGACCTACCTGCCCAACAATGTTCCTTTGGGTGCTTTTACTCATAGCACATTGACCATGGAGTAGACCAACAGGTTGTGGCAATGGCAGCCTGCCCCCAGGTGCCCTCTTCCCACAGAGCGTGTGGCTGCAATGAGGATGTGCATGTCCCACGTTCACACTGTATATCCTTCTTGGGGTGTCCAGTTCACAGCGTGAGTGTTGCAGAGCATAAAAGACTGGCAGGGCAGAGTACCTCAGAGGAGCTGGGCATCATGGTCCAGTTGAACTGCCAGTTTTTGAATTTGAATTTCCTCATTTTTTTCCTTCCTAGTTGTGTTTTGTTGGTGTTTAGAGTTTGGATTTTCTGTATTAACAGAACTGATCAGAAGTTCAGTAGATCTCCAACTGCCGGCTCCTAGCTAGAGCTGTTGGTGCTCTTACTTCCCAGTGAGTGGTTCTGGGCTTGCTTTGCTCCTCTAACCGCTGTGTGCTGTTCTAGCTCCTTGTCTGCCGTCTCTGCTCCCACTCAGCTCGCACAAGCTGGGGTACATGGGTGCAGAAGCAAGTGTGAGATGTAATAACCTGTCTGGGCTCGGCTTTCCTCGTTCTGTGCAGCTGGGCTCTGAATGGTAGAGCAGCTAACATAGACTAGAATACCTCTCCAGCCGTCAGCTACAATCAGGATGAATACCCCTCATTAGAAGTGTTGCTTGTAGGAAGCTGGATTGTTTGAAGCATGTGTGTAGTACTGTGTTTATGCATGCTCATTAGTGTGGACTGGTTTGTGAGTACTAGTAAAATAATCTGCTTTAATATATTGCCCGATTAATGCATTAACCCCCCCCTTTTTTGGGTGGCAGTCTCTAGTTGTCTGCTTTGACAACAGACCTTTGTGCTGTTTATGTATAAGGCATCTTGTTTCCTTTAACGGACAATGACGCCTGGCTTCATTTTCAAGCATGTTAGTTCACAAATTATAGTATGTAGCCCGAAGAAATCTGTCCTAGTCCCAGAATATTATGCAGGCAGCCTTCAGTCCTTGTTCTTCTGAGCCTTGCAAATAGTCTTGATGCTGTATTGCATAGCAGCTTTTGTCATTTTTTTCACCAAAACATTACTTAGGATACTGAATTATTATCCCATTATGCAGCGAAAATCAGTTTCTTCTCACCAAAACATAAACAACTCTCTTCCAAGGGATGTTCCTTTTAATTATTGAGCAAACAGTTTCTCTGAAGGAAAAAATAGAAAAAATAAGCATCCGGAGAAGTGAGTTGAAGGCATAGTTTTGGGTCAAGTGACTGCCTTGATCTCCAGGTTTAATTGCCGCCTTTTTGTTCCTGAATGTTAACAACTCAGATTTTCTTTTATAATATTTGAGTTCCCAGTAAAGGTGCTGATGAGAGAGTGATCTTTTTGTAGTCTTTTCCTTTAGGAAGTGAAGATACTTAACTGTCAAAGTGAGTATCCTCCCCCTCTTGTCTTTAGGTGCCAGTCTTGTCATTTGGTAGCTGGTAGGAAGGGGATGAGTGTTAATGGGAACTTGATGCTCTCAGATTTCATGGGCATCACTTCCTCAGTGTCACTGCTTGGGTTGCATTGGGCGGCTCATCTCAAGCCTACTTCAAAACTAGTTTATCACATACTTTGCTGTAGAGCTAAAAGAGAAAAATCTGTCTCTTGTGGCTGCTGGAGCCTTTCCTAGAAATTGCTCCTAGGCAGAAGGTTGCATCTAACGTTGATGTAGCATGGTACTACCTTCATGGCCTGGGCTAGCCAAGTGACCTGATGGCATAGTGCTTTGGAAGGAGCAGTGCTCGAGATCTGTCTTGCCCTAGCTTTTAAATTCTCCAGCTGTTCATCATCTTGTGACTTGAAGCCATTAAAAACATGTTTGAAGGGAAGTGCTTCTCCTTTGAATGTCACCAAGTACAAAAAGTGTAAGCAGCGTCTTAGTCTTAGGGAAGGTCGTGTAGTAAGATTTAACTGGACAAGCCCACCTCTAAGGGAGATACTACCTATGAACTGGATTTGGTGGCTGCTTGGAAGGAGGAGCAGCACCATGGGTCACTCTGGGAGGGAGTCAGAGGTCACGTGCAAAGGTAACAATAGCAAATGTTCTATAAAATGCAGGAAACTTTTTATTCTCCTACTTTTTGCTCGTGCTCTAGTTGAGTGACAGTTTACTAGTTAGTGTTGCAGTTCATTCAGAGGTTTCTGGAGTCTTTCTCTGCCTCTTTTTCTTTTTTTAACAGTGGCACTAAGCCCTGTGGCTTCTTTTCCTCTGACCAGGCCTTGGACTCATCATCCATGGCTTCAGGGAGTAACACATAGTAGTGCTGGGGAAAGGCAGGGCCTGTGAACCTCTCTTTGGTTAGCTACTTCAGCTTCACTGCTGATAACCTGGTGGTTATTCACTCAAGCCTCTTGTTTCCTGGTGAGGTCCATGATGTCTCTGTTCAGCATCCCTCCTGCCAGCTGTGGGGACTCTGCTGCTCTGCCCTCTCTTCTTACAAATTTGTGCTTCAGCTTTGAAACATTTGCTTAAATTTTTTTACAGCATCCGAGGAAACACCTTTTAAATGTGTCCCATCAGTCACTTCAGGCTTGACTCTGTCCTCTACTGTTGGCCTGAGGCCAACACAGATCTACCTGTTTGTCCTACACTTCCCAGTTTTGGGAAGTGCTCCTCCAGCTGATTGGTTGGCTTTAGGTGCTGAGATCCTTGTGGGTCCTAGGTGAATGCTGGATGTTTTGTCATGAAAGCTGGGTGACCTGTAAGGAGCTTCACATGCAAGTGCAAAGTGGTTCTTCTAATAAAACAAGTAAAATTCTAATAATTTAATTGCCTATGCTTTGCATCTGTTGGGGATAAAGAAGAAACTGTTAGCGAAAGTTTCTTATCTACTTTTCTGCAGAAAACCAAAAAGCCACCAACCCTCTCTCTTCAGTCAAGCAGGTGTGGTGGATGTTTCCTTCTGCACTGTACAGGTGAATCAGTGTGTGGAACTGGCTTTTGGTAAAATAAAATGTGGCTTTGTTTTATGTCGCAAATTTGAGTTAAAAAAATATGTATTTTAGGGAGGTCAAACTTGTGTATCCAATCTTGCTGCCATGCCAAGTGCTCTAGTGTGTGACCTGACAGATGTAGTTAAGCATACTGTTAGTCTGTTTATTTCTGTGCTGAAACCCATGGAAATGAAGCCATGTAAAGAAATAACTTCCTGACTAGATCTGAGCTTTCTCTTCATTTAGCAGCTAGAGGAGAAGAAATCCACTCCTGCAGTGGATTACTGTAGACAGCGCTGAAGTGTAAAGTATGAGGTCCACTTGGTAAAGAGAAATTTTAGCCCAGCTAAAAGTTAAATGCCTTGCTTTTTGCAAAGACACTAACTCACTAACAAACACCCTTTTATTTCTTCCCTTCATTCACCTTCTGCCCTCTCTTCTATTTCTCTTGTGCTTCTGAACCTTGTGAGCAGGCATCATCAGATCGCCGAGGGGAGTGGGAGATCCAGCCAAGCCGGCAGACAAATACCTCGTACTTGACATCTCATTTGGCTGCAGATCGGCACGGAGGATCAGTACAGGTACCTCTTCCTCCTAATGTGTACAGCCTTGATGTGAGAATTTGTGTTAAATCCCCTGAATTCTCCTCAAACTGCAGTAACATCATGGTCAGGAGAGCAGTTTTACAGCTGGTTGGGTCCTGTCCTGTACGTAACGCTCAAGCCATGAACGTTTTGTGGGACCCAAGCTGTGATGGCCAGTATGGTTGCTGTTACCACTTCAACAAAGCTTTTCCTCTGAGAGGTGTTTTGAACTCAGATTTGTCAAATTGAACACAGGAGTGTATATTAGCAGGTCTGGTCTATAAAGCACCATACTATCCCCACCTTGGGGATGCTCTTAACTAGTAAGAGGCAGCTGAAATAAGGTCTGTTGCATATAAACCCCATAACGTTAGGAAAATAGTGCAGGCTTGATAGATGAGGTTCTGCTTGAATTCCTGTTGCTTAATGGAAATCTGGGGATGTCAGCCCAGAGAAATGGATGGTGGATGGCTGGTGCAAGTAGGCTACATAGCAACATCTCCCTCTGAGTGGAGGGGAGACATGTTGAACAGCCACTGCAGTTGCAGGGTGTGGTGACCATGTTCACTTGCTCCCCGGCACATTTGCATTTTAGTTTTGGATCCAGCAGCAAGACCAGCACCAGTGTAAGGGCATGGTGGCTTCAAGCTGGGTCTCTGGGTGACTGCATTGTGGAAGGTGGATGAGTAGAGGACACACGGCAGTGCCAGGCAGCATTAAAGGTGGCATTACAGCTAGATTTTTAAATTTCTGAAAAGACAGTTTATGAAACCGTATCTGCCTCTGGTCATCACTTCGGCTTGCTAAGGGAGTTTCTTGCACTACTGCCAGAGTAAGATGACTGGACGTGCTAGAGGGAAGATACAAGAGTCATTCAAGCAAACAAAAACTGTCTAATATTGCTGGCAGGGTGAACTCTTCGGCAGCGGTTTGCCTGCGAGACCTGACTAGTGCCAGACACAACACTTTGAAAATTGGCTCTGGTGAAATGGGAATTAGTGCCTGGATCAGGACAGAGCTGAGCTGAGGAGAGACAGATAGTGCAGGCTGCCCCTGAGTGAAATACAGATTAGCTTGAAATTTTTACTTATTCCTAATACTCGTTTGGATTCAATTATTTTTGACTTGATTGGCCACGTTCCTTTTTTCATTTAAAGATATTTTACGGAGTATCAGAGAAACTGAAAGATAAGGAGGAAGCAATATATGTGTAGCTCTGATGTCAGATGCGAGCAGGCAGTAAACTGGAGAAGCCTTCAAGGCCAGGTTGGGTGGGGCTTTGAGCAACCTGATCTAGTGGAAGATGTCCCTGCCTATGGCAGAGAATTTGGACTAGATGATCTGTAAAGGCCCTTCCCAATCCAAACCTTTCTGTGATTCTATAAATTCAGCTCTCAGTAAGTACAGAATAGGTGGGGGGGGGTTTGGGTTTGGCTTTTTTTTTTTTGTCAGGGGAATAGTTTCCTTGCACAAAGCCAGCATGAGCTGTGTCTCCCCGTGAACAGTGCTCTGCCAGAGTAACTACAGCAATAAGGCAGTCCTAGTCCTAATTTGACTGGGAGGCTTGCCTACCTAAGCAGTTTAAAAGCCTGTATGTGCCACTGTAAGCATTAAAATTCTGCTTATCTGCAGCCAAGAACAGGAAATCTTCTGCTGTGCATGGCTGCTGGGCTGCAGGTGCTTAAATTGTTTCTCAACAGATGTTCAGCTCGCGCTGAACCTTTGAGAGGTCAGTAGCTTCAAGTGGCCATTTCCTTTAAGGCATTGGTTGAATTTGACACATCAGAATGAAGTGATGGCATGTAAAAAAGAGGAGGAAAATCAAAGCCTTCTGTAAAATGAAATTTAACAGGTATCTGAAGAAACTGCGGGAAGGTCACTGGGATAGCACGATTAAGTGCTGGCGTTTTGCAAAGTTGGGGGGGACTCTAGAGAACCTGGGTGGGCCTACAGTGTGATGAGTCTGGGAAGGGGGGTGTGAAGAGAACCCAAGGGGTTGTCACTCGAGGACAGCTCTGGAACCCACATGAGCTGAGTCCTGACCTGTCTGGGCAGAGATGGGCCACAGGGCTTAATCTGAAGAAACAGCAGGTGTTCGTAGACCTTAAGTATTCAAAATGAACATGGACAGATGCGCTTAATAGCGAGAGGACATCTGCTTCAATGGCTTCCTTCTCTTCATCTCTGGTGGTTAGGTTGTTCAGAGCCACCAGGAATACTGGGTAGCACCTCAACCCCCCTCCATGGGAAATACCTCTTCTTACCTTGTAGAAAAGTGAAGAGGTATAGCAGGAGAGGAACCACATGTCATTACAGCTCTGCACCCAGGAGCATCTCCGGGTGCTCACAGGACATGCAGGAGCTTGTCCTGCCTTCCAGGTGGAGTGCACAAGGGCCGGCCAAGCTTCAGTCCCATACAGGCCTCTTGGCAGTTATTGTGGCAACAGAGCAATGATGAATTATCCAGAAAATTATGTGCTGTCCTGGCAAATGCAGAGCTGCTGGCAGCTGCGTATCTGGATGGTCATCCATAATATGGAAATGCTGAAGTAAGGCATAACATCATCTGTGAAGCAAAAAGAGATGAGAGACTGTATCAGTAGCTTTTGGGTGAGGATGTGGTTCCATAAGCTGGATGTATAAGGAGTGAGACTCTGGTGGCTCTGGAGTGACTTCTTCGCATGGTACTGGACTGAGTTGCTTGCCTATAAAAGCATCAGCAGAAAACAATCAACATAATAGGGTTTATATGTGAGTATAGGGCTGTCAGTAGTCTGCTCACTGGTGGCTATGCCTCCCAAAGCAGCATAGCCTCCCAAAGACACAAGGCCTGTGCTGGGTACAGGAGTTTGAATTAGTGGACACAGACACAGTCCCCTGCCTGCTGTTCTCCTTGGGATAAACCAGGCTGGTCCCTCCAAACCAGGCACACATTCAGAGGCATTCAAGGGATTTGACAGCCTGCTAAGAGGGTGCAAAGAGACAGGAGCAAACAGAAGTTGCTCTGTAGATTTCCCAGTCCCTCAGCATCCCTTGTCCAGGTGGGTGGAGACGCATCACATGCAGGGGCTTGGTTAATGGGGTCTTCATTTGTTTTTCAGGTGGTTAGCTCAACCAACGGGGAGCTGAACGTGGATGACCCGACGGGGGCACACTCCAACGCACCAATAACAGCGCAGGCAGAGGTGGAGGTGGTGGAGGAAGCTAAGTACGTTTGCTTTACAAACAGGCTTTCCACTGGTGTGGTTGTTAATCCTTCTCCTGGGAAACAAGTGGGGATGGTTACCCATGATGAAGTACTCAATGCTCATATCACATGCCCTTTTTCTTGCATATTGCTGCTTTTGTGCATGGTGCCTTCAGTGCTGCTGCTGCTGCCGCTGCTTCTTTTTTACACTTGTCATGGCTGGAGAACATAACTCGTACTCAGAGCATGTATTACAAGATAGACAGTAGCACAAATACCAAAGTAACATGAATTGATTTCAGGAATCCCCGTGAGCATCCCCTGTTCCAAAAGGAGAACGCGCTGTACTCTCGTGCCGAGTGTGTAGGAGTAGCTTGAGCACAGCTTGACGAAAAGAGTGTTGGTCTGAAAGTTAACACTATTTCTGGCTGCAGGAAGTGCATGCCAGATATCCAGAACGGTCCTAAAGAAACTCTTGCAGGGACAGGTAGTTCTCTCCATTAATTCTCTTGGTGTAGCCCAACGAAAGCTGAGTGAGAGAAACCAGAAACAGGTCTCCTGCTTGTGGGGAACACTGCTTCCTGAGCTCTCCTCTGTAGCTTGTGGTCAAGAGTGAGAACTGATGTACAAAGTTGCTGCTTTGACCATTTTGGCCTTCCTTTGCATATGTGCTGCATCTGGCACCATCATGTCACCTTTTGCATGATCCTCGACATGGGACCTTCTCGCTGCCTCTGAACTAGACCAGGACCCAGCAGGTCACAGTGTAATCCTGACACTCCTCGGATGAGAAGTAAAGCAGCCCCAGGGCTGCCTTTGAACCGGTCGGTGCTGTGACATTGCCCAACTGCCTGGTTGTAATTAGACTAGATGATTGGTGCTGCTTGTCCCACACTGTTTGTCTTAGCCTTTGTGGGAACCTCTGTTAGGAGGGTGAAGAGGAAAACTGGCAGGCATGAGGAAGGGTGTGTTGATGGGAAATGTCCCTAGATACATGTCAGGCTGAAGCCAGTGCCAGTTGTCCCGAAGGTCTTCTGCTGTCTATTCCTCTGTCCCTCGGGACACACTTCTGCGTGAGCTTTCTCGCTGGTGGCTGGCCTGGGCATGATCCTGGCAGCAACATGCCTGAGCAACAGATACACTTTCTCCTCCCAGCCAAAGGAGTGAACCTTGGTTTTGATACCAGCTCCTCATAAAGTACGGCGGGGTGGGAGAGATCTTGAGGTGCAACTTGCAGAGTGGGCAATATTCCTCTCAGATACAGGTAGTGTGGCCTGCAGAGACCACTAGTTTGGCATCACAGGCTCTGTCTTGGTCAGAGTGAAGTGGGTCCCTGGGCACGTGGCTTGGGTTTGCTCCTAGGATGGGGCAAATTGCCACCCTTAATGGTCCTCGATACAACAACCCAGTGCAAGGAAGAGTCAGCTTTTAAAATGAGACCACCTTCAGCCTGTGTTTCTGCAGCACCTTGTTCAGCACAGCCAGGGTCCAGACCCCGCGCCCATGTACAGGGAAGATGTCAAAGGTGAAAAGGAGCACACAAGGAACACACTGCCCAAGCCATTTGCAATGCATGGAACTGTTCTGCCTCCCTCCAGCCCTTGTTTGTGTGGTGCCAGATTGGTTTTGGAGGTGCTGGGAAGCAGAGCACCAGCTGCTTTGCACTCACAGGTTTGGAGTATCTTGTAATTCCCGGGTGTAGTCCACTTGGTTCCTCTTGTCACAGGGAGGGCTGGCTTCATCTTCCCTTGCATCTGTGATCATAAATGTCCTCAGTTTTATGAGGAGGGCAATGGACTTTTGGATTCTGCTCTGCAGTAAAGTTGGCCAGAAAGAGCTAGAAGGAGCTGGAGCTGGGACTCAGTGTTTCGAGACAAGATGTGATAGCGGAAAGGTCTTTCCCTGGCACTCCTGGCAGGCAGAGGGGCTGTGCAAATGCTTCTGCTTTGGGGTACGCTGGAGACAAGCTCCTGATCCCAGCTGTGGGTTTTGCTGAAGGGCATGTCCCAGGTGTAGATCCATCATGTGGCCCTTCTGCTGCTGGAGCTGCAGGTGACGAGCAGATTCCTGTCCTGGTGGCCCTGAGCCCCTTTCTGGATCCCAGCCCCAGATAGGAACTTCATGGGACCAGTGCCTTCGTGGAAAACAGGGGGTGTTTGTCAGAGACCTCAAGAGCCTGGAAAGTGTGGCAGCTCTCAGCGGCACCGTGGCAAGGGCAGAGGTGGTATGAGGGCTGGGGGCGGGCGGTGGGCAGGCATGGTGTGTGTCTGCCAGTCTGCACTGCATGTTTGCATGGCTGCAGTGACATGCTTTCATCCCACCTCTGTGAACTAATTGCTCTTTCTTCCTTTCTGTGTTTTTTCTCTACACTCTCTGTAGCTGCCTGAAAATGCTCAACTTGTGGTGAGTCCCTCTCTCCAGTCCACATGCAAGGGGGAGCGGACCAGACTAGACTGGGGTTGGCAAAACCAAACTGATCAAACCCTAAAAAGGCACAAAGTCAAAGCCAACCCAGAGCTCTTTTGATTTTAGGACTGTGCTGAGGACCACATGCAATATTGGGGAGGGTGTGGGCTATGTCTGAGCGGCCGCATGAGGCCAAGCAATTCGGTTGATCCTCTGAGCTGGTGGATGCAAAAGATGGATTTTAATCCTTTTCTATTTGGCTTACCATCTCCCCCAAACTGTTACGTCCCTGAGCAGATGATGTCTAATGGAGTTGGGCAGAGTCGGGACCAGGCTTGCCAAGCATCTTGCAGGAATTCCTCAATCAGATGGTTACGAGGGAAAAAGCCTGTGCTGGGTATCAAGGGGAAGGGGCCAGTCACTTCCTTAGAGAGTCTTCTCTGAAGAAGCACAGGCCAGGGCCTGTATTGTTAGAGAGGATGGAAAGATGTGGCCGTGGAGTCCTCGTTAGTGACAGAGCCCCAGCTACAGCCCCTGCATGGAGAGGGTGGATGTGAGATGGCTCCTTTCCAGAAACCCTGCAGCTGTCAGTTGAGGGTGCGGGTGAACTGGCTTCTCTGGGAGAGGAGGAGTGGAAGGGTTGGGATTAGCATCAGTCCAAGTCCAGCTCGGTTTTATCAGGGTCTTGAAGATGTAGTGTCCTGGTCTCAAGTTGTCCCACGGAGGTGTTCCCTCCCTCCCTTGCCCCTTGGGGAAACTGTACCCAGTAAGCAGAGGAGCAAGCAGAGTCTCACTTGAGGTTTTAGGCCCCAGGGAGGGCTGATGGGTGGGAACCGCTACGGAGTGAGGTGACAAAGCCCGTGTGCGGCGAGGAATGTCCTTGCTGGATGGAAGACTGACCGCCTCTGCCCTGCTCTCCATAGGCATTGCCTCCAATACCTCTGGCATCTCTGGCTTCTCTGTATGTCATAGTCTGGGGCTGTTCTCTTGGGCATTGTCTGCATGCAGAGAGATCACGTTCTGTAATTGTCAGCCTGCCTTATTCTTTTGTTTTTGTGTTTCGCCTCTGCCTGTCTGAACTGCCAGGCCTTCCTTTCCTGAACCCTTCCCTGGACCTCTGAGTAAGAGCCTAAAAAGACAGTTACAAGGAAAAACAGCCAGAAGTCAGTCAGCTCCCTTTGTTCGGTGCCCAAGGAAACAAGTGCTGCTCAGCCCTCTTCTTCCCTTACCCGCTGCATGCAAAATCGTAACTCATGCATTTTCCATCCTCTCCCCATAACGTACTCTCCCTTACTCACCATTGCCTGAGTCATGAAGGAAGGTGGCTGCTGTGGGAGAGAAATACTACGACAGGTTAAAGCAGGAGAGGGTGGCAGGTGGCCTGGGACAATAAAATGCAAGACCAGTCCTGAGGTGGGGTGGTTAAAAGTGCCAGCCATGCGCAGCAGCGTGGGTTGGGTGGTGCTTCAGACTGCACGCTGCAAACATCAGGTTAGGTGGGTAGTGATGGAGTTGTCACAGGTCACTCTGAGCCTGTGTTCCTGCAGGGACAAGTGCTTTGTGTTTTGTCTCATTTCACCTCCAAACCGGGCCTGTTTAGCAACCTAAAGACAAATCATGGATGTTAAACTTCCTTTGGCCCTTAGTCCACGCAGGCCAGAGGAATGTGTGGTGGGAGGTGGCCCTCCTCTTGCTGCGGCTGTTTGAGCTCTCCATGTTGTAGAGGGTGTTGGTCTCCCCAGCAGAGAATCTGTGCTCGGCTCACAGGGCAAGGGTGGTCACCCAGCGCTTACACACCCTGTAATAAGGCTCGTGCATCCAGGGGCGAGCACCTCCTGGGGTGCAAGTGAGAATGAATCTGTTCCTCTAGCTCTGTCTAGAGGATAGAAACTTAACGCTGACATTTCAGGGCCTCGAAGCACCCAATGGAAAATACTTTGGAGAAGTTGTTACAGTGTTTTTGAACGCTTTTGATCTGGCTGTTGGTAAAAGATGCTTGTAGGAAAAAAGGGTCTTTGCATACTCACATCTGCTCTTGCTGCTTAGCCAGGCATCCCTTCCACCAGCCTGAAAAACTGGCCTTTCAGCATCACCTTGGGCTTCTCTGGAGATGGCTGTCACGACAGGAGAAAGACACGTAGCTCAGGAGCAGAACTCACACAGAACGAACACCTTTCTTCTGTGCGGAGGATTCCTGACAGTGGGCAGAGGATAGAAGGGTAGACACGCCTTAAATGCCAAGTAATTCTGTAGGAAGCCAACAGGACTAGAAGACTTTGGGCAACTGCTTTCAGTGCATCCCACAAGTGAAACCACCACTCTTCACGGTTCAGCTGCGATGGGCGTTTTTCTCCCCACCTCAGCCTCCACTCTCCATCCTTCTTGCTTCCCCTAATTCCTGGGCGCTGTGCACCTCCCTCGCATTGGATGGGGGAAGAAGCAGGGGTTCTGCATACCGGCACTGAATGATTTATTCAAGGTGGAAGCTCTGGTTATCATGAAAGGTTCAGTAAAGAAACCTGGTCCCTGAGCCGAGATCTTTTTGAAACTTGTCTTTTTAGTGAACGGTGGTGAAAACTGTGTGTCTCATAGCTGGGAAGAGCAGCCAGGGCTTGCCATCCCAGTCTGCTTCCTCTGGGGTTCGGACAGAGGGAGCAGAGCACCTGGATCCTTGTTTTACTGCTTTACCAGCTGGGATGGCTCCTCTGTCCCTGCCCCACTCGAGCCTCAGGAGGGAGACAGCCTGATGCTCTGGGGTTGCGCCCTGCTGTCGCCCAGAGCCTTTGGGCATTGGGATCTCCCAGCATGTGGCTAACTTGCCTTTGCTGGTCTGCCAGTCCGGGCTGGTGGTGGCAACTGTCCACCAGCACCTGCCGGCCATGCAGAGGGTCAGCGGGTCTGCCAGGGCCTCGGGCCGGGTGCGCAGAGGTGCTGTTGCATGCGGCTGAGAGGAGGGAAGCCCGGGATGGCAGGGGATCTCCCCGGGGTGCTGGGTGTGGGGCTAACTTGCCTTGTCCTTTGTGCCCCAGGTGCTGCTGCTTCTTTAAGAGGAAACGGAAGAAGACGGCTCAGCGTCACAAGTGACCGGTGCCTCCTGGGCCTTGCAGGAACCACCGCGCCTGCAGCTCCTGCCCTGTCTCACTGGAAGGGGCTTCTCTTTAGGGGGGAGGAGGAGGCATAGGAGGAAGAGAGAAAAAAAAAAAAAAAAAAGTGACATTTTAAACCAAAAAGTGAAGAAAACGTTCCAAAACAAACCACTCTGGGGTGGATCTGCTGAATGGTCTCCCTCGTTCACTCCAAGCCTGAAGCTCCTTTTGGGACCAGGACTGTGGCTGGCTCAGGTCTTGGTCGCCCTGGGAGGGGGGCTGGCTGGCTGACCCTCCTTCCCGTTGTTTACGGCGAAGGCATCCTTCACGCAAACCTGAGGACTGTGCTTAGTTCCTGCTCACTTTCCTCCCCTCCCTCCCCTGTGCTCTCTGCTCCTCCATCCTCCTCCCTCCTTAATTAAGCGAAGAAATACCATAGGCTTGATTGGCTGTCCAGAGGGCAGGAGGATGCAGTGCAGGCAGGAGAGTTTCGAGGGAGAAGGGCCTGACTGCTGCAGCAGTAAGAGACAGGTTCCCTTTGCGGCTCCTTGGGAACAGTTACACTGTAATGTGCAAGCTGTGAGAAATTTGCAATCTACTGTTCCAGTTAGGTTTTTTTCCAGGCTCCCTTGACACACTTCCCTCCTCTGACGGTAACAGAGCAATGTGGATTGTTTTAAAGAAGCTGACGTCGTTGCACTTTTTATTATTTTTAGCATTTACAGATGCACATTGTATCTGTGGATCTCTGCGTGGCCGCACAGTGCCAGCGCAGACAGACATTCAGCTGGGAAGATGGTGGGGTGCAAAGAATGCCCTCGAGTGGGGATGTCGACGACATCCATACGACCCTCGTGCCAATCTGGGGTTCCCGACATCCGCCTTGGGCCATATGCTGAGGGAAAGCATACTTGAATTTTCAATCACCCTTTCTAGCTGCCAGTGAATGTCCCTACCATGGTTTCCTATGCGGTGCCTGACCCAGCTGGCCAGGAGACGCAAGGCTTTGGCAGGGGAGAGCAGCATCAGCTTTGCTGAGCTGGAGTTTGCGCTGGCTTAGGAGGTAGACCTGGATTCAGGTAACTGGGAGGCAGCTGTTTCCCAAAGCATTTCTCGCTGTGGGCAACTGGACAGCCTTCTCCTATCCCTCCAGCAGGATGGTTGTGAACACGTACCTTCTGTGAGAAAACATTAGCAGGAGCAAAGCTTCCCCGGCGAGGGAGAGGATACTTCACTGCCTTAACACTGATTTCATCTCCAGATGGTCAGATAGGTTTGACTGGAATAGCCTTCACGTCCTCTCTGCGAGCATGGGTCTGGGGCACGTGGGACGCCATCCCACCTCATAGGAGAAGCCACGGTTCTCGTGCATCGCTTTTGAGCCAAACCAATAGCTAGCAAAGGGCTTGGGGCACTTTGCACATGTGTAAAAAAAAAAAAAAAATCTTGCATCCTGCTGCAGCGATTCCAAACTCGGAGAAGGCCTGGGCTGCCTGGAGATTACTGTAGATGGGGCAGGGCTTCAGGAGAACTTGAGCAGCTTTTGGGGAGATTGTGAATAGGTTCCTTTTACTTTGGCTTTCCACATGTGACACCTGACCAGGCTGGGACTGTTCACTTGAGGGACTTCAGTTGTCATAAACTTGGGCCTGGCTCACCCCAAAAATCCCAGAGAGCATGAGGGGAAGAAAGGCAGAGACTAGATCTCATCTTTTTATTATTTTAATGATGATCTGTGTAGCTTGGAGTTTGTGGAGTTCCACTCCTGGGAGGTTTGATTCCCCTGGCTGGGCAGGAGCAGGTTAAAGGGTAGGAGATCATGCTGGGTAGGGAGCTTCTGGGCTTGCTCTTTGTGAATCCCTGCAGCAGGGTGGAACAGCCTTGCTCCCTTGCCGGGATCCCCGTGGGGCATCTCTTCGCCATTCTCTGCTGCGTTCTCTCCATGCCTTACCCCGACGAGCGTGGCTTGGAGGCACAGAGCTCTCTGCTCATGCACCCACCAGGAGATGCGTGCACCCCACTTCTCGTTCCGCAAAGCGCTTTCCTCGAGCCATGCCGTGGGCTGAGGCTTCGCCCGCTCGTCCCCTCCTGCCAGAGGACAGGGACTGTGGCCACGTTTCCACCCTTCTCTTTCTGAACTCCTCCGCTGCCAGTGGTTCCCAGAAGCCCGGTGTCTCTGATGCAGGCGTTCCCCTCTCTGCTGTAGGAAACCATGGTTTGGCATCTTGGGAGGGGGGGCAAGGGGCACAGGCGCTCCCCAGGAGCAGTCCTGCCCGCTGCAGATGGAACCAGGCCCTGAGATGCTTCTGTTGCTGCCCTCCCAAGCCCCACTAAGTGCCTGTCACCAGAACTTGATTCCTTCTGCATCTCCTGCCGTGTTTGGTCATTCCTCGCTGCCTCCTGTCAAGGAGCAGCTTGTAGTTGCAGCATATGTAAGTGTTTGCAGGGTGAGGGAGGGCGGGGGGGAAAAGGGGCCATCTCAACAGTTTTTGTTCTTAAATGTTTTTTGTTTTTGTTTTTGGGTTTTTTTTAAAGTGAATGTATTTGATTGTTTAGAAACTTTCCTGACCTTGTTTTTAAGTGGGTTGGTTTGAAAGCTATTTCACAGTGACCCACTACCGCTTCTCTCTGGAGATACGATGTTCTTTTAATCCTATGATGATGTGTTTGTAGGGGAGGACTGTCCCCCCACGGCATGCTGGTAATGCTCACTTGTACCAAGCCCTCTTGCACTATAATCGTACGTTGGACTCTTCAAAAGGGCAGATATGTGGGGTGGCTTTTTTTTAAAAAAAAAAGAAAATAAACCAGGTTAACAGCAAGTCCTGTGCTTGAGGAAACCGCTGTCCCCAGGGAGCTCGGAGGTGACTAGGAGACACAAGGCAGACTGAGCCAGCCATGCTGTGGTAGGAAGCAGGGCATTAAGCCAACCTGGGCCAACTCTCCTCTCCTCGATGGAGGCCGTTAGCAGCTGGGAGACCCCAGGGGCGTGAGGGGAGGGCACTCGGGCCCACGGCGGGGGCACTGGTGCCATGCTGGTCTCCCCGATGTAGCTCTCCCACGGTGTGGCCCACCAGCGTTGCGATGCAGTCTTCTGAGGTATCAAGTGAGATAATTTTTTTTTTTCAATAAAACATTGCACTGCTGCATTGTTCTCCATGAATAGATGTATTTATTACCTCTCCCTGACAACAGTGTTTGTATTTTTCTTTCCTTTGCTTCTGTTGGGCACTCTTGGTAGCCCTCCTCTCCTGTGAGAAGCTCAGAAGCCCTCCTTTGAGAGGACAGTGCACAGTGTGGCATCTTACAGGACTTTGTGCTCTACAGCCATGGATGGTTCAGCCCCACAGAGCTTGGCCAAGGCATTATGATGCCAATTTCTCATCTCCCTGTGACTGTATGTTCCCACTTCAAGCCTGGGAAGCAGAATGGCTAAACCATTGATTACTTGGGACATAAAGCTGTGAACCACCCCAAGACATGCTGTCATGTGGCCCCCACGTCTCTGAAATAACATCTACAGTATCCCTTCCCCAGGTGGAAGGGCATTGTGTACGCCCATCTGCTGGCTGAGGGTCTTGGGCTCCAGCCGAAGCAACCACCAGCCCAGTCCCTCGATACATGCTGTGCTGGCAGCTCTGCCTGTGTGGAAAGGTGGCAACGACATAGGCCCAACTCTTGGTGCCTCGAGTGCCACCTTCCTGTGCCCGTCCACTTGCCAGGACCTGGTGTAGAAAGCAGCACCATACCGCTTTTGTGGAATTGACCACCAGGATTGGGATGTTTCCCAGTGTGCAAATAGATGCTGCTTATTTCTTCTCAATACAGAGAAAAATGTTAAGGAGATGGCACCTACTGGCCCAACATGGCATCTTTTAGAAGCAGCTTTCACTGTATCTAGACAGGGAGAGGACCTGCAGCACGACTCCCACCCTTAGGAACTGCTTCATGTTGGGATCTCTGCTGGCACGTTTTTCCTCATTTCACAGCCTTTAACTTGGTACCTTTAGCATGAACTTTCACTTCCCCTGCCTAAAAATTACTCTTGGGACCGCTGCACTCTGAGAAGGAAGACGAGACCCTCAGGCTTGTTTCCCTGACCCTTGGAAACCCCCATCCCCAGCAGGCTCTCCCCCTAGGGGTCTGTATGCTGGGCGATTGACGCTGGACATCATCGATTTGTGTGGCTGTTAAAAAAAAAAAACCTCCCACACGTGCGCCCAAGTGCAGCGTTTGTGAGGGGCTGCGAGCCCTTCCGGGTGCTTCCAGGCTGCCACAGCCGGGGCCGACGGGAAGCGGGGCCTCCCCCG